GAGGATCAGGGCTGCTTTGTGTAAACCATTGCACAGAGCAGGTACAGTATGTATAACATGATTTTCAAATGAAAAACCTTCTGTGCTGCAGCTCCCTTCCAGCTCCCCCCCTTTCTTTCCTGAGCCTAATTTGATCAAGTGATCTGCACGAGAGCAGCAGCTCTAGCTGCTGTCTCCCTCTACATTAGGCAGATTGATAGCAGTGGGAACCATTAGCTCCCACTGCTGTCAATCAAATGTTGTGACACAATGGACAGGGTGGGTCAGGAGCTAGCCCACAAGGGTGCCCCTATGGAAAGTGACTTTCCATGGGGCACCTGCCAAAGAGAGGCTTGGTGCGCTGGCGGGGGACCCCAGAAGAGCAGGATTGGGGCTGCTCTGTGCAAAAGCATTGCACAGAGCTTGTAAGAATAGCATGTTATTTTAATTACAAAAAAAAGAAAAAGGAAGGTTTATTATCACTTTAACCTCTTGCTGCCCACATAATGCATATATACTGCATATGTGACCATGGGCAACAGAGCTTTCTGTACGGAAGACAAGATCACTGCACGCTCCCAGCACAGTGACCAATCTATCAAGAACAAATCTGGGTCTCTGCTCATGAGGGGGGACTAGCTCCCAATCATGTGACCACTGTCACAGATGATCACATTGGTCACAAGATCAGTCAATGCTTCCTGCCCCTCAGTGTAAAGAGCCTGTTAAAGGGGCACAGGGGCTGGCTGAAAGGAGTTAAAGTGATATTATGCCCTCAGTTTTTTTAAGACACTTTCAGCAGCTGATTTAATCACTTACTGAGTATGCAGCTTCTTTATCTTTAAGGCTGGCCATACATTATTACAATTATCTTCCAATTTTCTGCCCAATTTCCTTTAGATATACCTTCAACTGTGTAGTGCAAGGGCCTGCCTAATTGGATACAACTAAAAGTGTTGTTTAGGTTTGTCCTCTTATTATATGGTTTTTGGTAAATCTAAACCAAAAATCTCAAGATAATTGTATAATGTATGGCCAGCCCTATTCACACTGAGCTGAGGGTTTTTTAGGTGTTTTTTCAAGGCATTTTTGCTGTGGCCAATAGAAATAGTTGCTGTTTGAGCTTAAAACTCCTGAAAGAAACACTCATTCTCACTGTTTGGGCATTTTCATTCAAGTTTATGGGGACAACGTGCCCATATATGCCTGAAAAGTAGGCAATTCATTTTTGAGCAACAGGCATTTTGCTACAGGCAACGGAATGCTCAAATGTGAACAGGGGCCATTGAAAACAATGTGAATTTACTTGTCGAGCATTTTTGAGTGTCAAGCTGAAAAATGCTGAAGTGTGAACAGGGTCTAAGGCCTCATGCACACAGGACATCTGTTTAAACCCCTCTGAACCCAGAACTCCTGGCTGGAAAAAGCTGCTTAAAAAAAGTGTTAAAAGCGTTTGAGTTAAAGCATTGAATTGACCAGAACATTCATTTATTCTAGCCATTGGAATGCATTAACACTCAAATGTTAAACATGCCTAAATGCATTTAGCGTCTATGTACAGTATATATAAATGAGTTTAGACATGTTTAGCTATGTTCTGCAATTTTTCTGCTCTTCATCTCCTCTCCCGAATGTGCCTGTGGTGGGTTTTATTCAATCTGTAAATGCTCCTTGGACATGCACACAGGCTTACATAGAGGTGCTTCTACAGGCCTAAAGCAGAACTCCACCCAAAATGGGAAGTTACGCTTCAATGCTTTGTTCCCCGTTCCGATTAAGGATTGGCACTTGGGGGGAGCGGGCACCCGAATTTGACAGGTACCCGCTCCCACTTCTGGTGTGGTCGCCTAGGTGATCGGAAGCGGAAGTTGTCCTCCCCCCCTCCCTCCCTCCCTCCCTGTAGTCTTCTGGGACATGTGACAGGTCCCAGAATACTACAGGACCATTCATGAAGCGCAGCGCTACTCGCGCATGTGCAGTGGACACCCAGCTGTGAAGCCGCAAGCTGTCACAGCCGGGTGCCCACACTAAGGATGCCGGCGCCAAGGAGAGAAGACGGCCTGTGCAACCAGCCGTGGTGAGGTCACCACTGGACCAAGGGACAGGTAAGTGTCTGTATTTTAAAAGTCAGCAGCTACAGTTTTTGTAGCTGCTGACTTATATATTTTTTTTTATTCAACTAGAACTCCGCTTTAAGAAAAAAAAAAAAAAATCACTCCATGCCTGTAGCTACTGTTTTTAGGCTCTGTGTGCATGAGGCCTAAATTCATGCCTATGCCTATAGTGTAGGCTGGTGCCATGACCGCTGCCCTAAGTTATCTGTTTCAGGTTGGCTCCTTTCTTTTACAGCATCCTATGGAATCACCCTTGCATGCAGTTACAGTGGAGTTCCACTCAAAAGTGGAAGCTCCACTTATTTGCCTCCCCCCCTTCACTGCCATATTTGGCACCTTTTTTGCTGGGGGAAGGGGGTGCGGATACCTGTTTGACAGGTACCCACTCCCACTTCCGTCTCACTTCACTGCGGCAAAGTGAGCCAGAAGTTCAGCCCCCTCCTCCCTCCCACAGTCTCCTGGGAACTTTTATAGACTGCTGGACCAATTAGGAGGTGCAGAGTGACCTGCGCATGTGCATTGGGCACCAGGCTGTGAAGCTGAAGCTGCAAGCTGTCACAGCCTGGTGCTCACAGTTGAGTTGCCAGCGCCATGGAGGGGAGAAGGGACCGCGCAGGTGAGAACATCGTTGGACTGAGGAACAGGTAAGTGTGTGTTTGTTAAAAGTCAGCAGCTACAGTTTTTGTAGCTGCTGACCTTTAATAAACACTAAAATGGCTGGAACTCCACTTTAATAGAGTTGTGATCCCATACAGTGTGCATCAATAGAAACGCGCAACCCGTAGTCTAGGATGGTAAGACACTCCCCTTCTCCTAGCTAACACACTGGCCGAGACTGCATTGTCCACCATTACATCCTATGAAGAATGCAAGTTCAGGCAAGCAGCACTGAGAGAGCAGGAGCCAGTAGCATTGAAAGTCATAAACTACGTGCTGGGGTAAGAATTTATAACAGTTTACTAGGGATTGTTTATATAATTGTGCTCAGTGTGCTGAACTAAAAAATGCAGGGGGTCTAATATTACTTTATTATTGAGGTAGAACCTTGTAGAATGCACCTGGAAGTGTACGATGCCAAAGATTCAGGTGACGAGTGTAAACGGAATTCTCAAAGGGCAGTATTGCTATGACTCATTTACTTGCCTCTTTAAGGGTACAAACAGCAACTAGTACACTTGCTGCCAGCAAGATCCTGCATAAAAAGCGCTCTGTGCACTTGTATTGTTTGAGCAACGCTTAACCACTTGTTAGGTTGTGTAACCGTACGTCGCCGCCTGGCTTCTGGGTTTTGGATGCGTGTGTGTGTGCGTGTTCCTTGCTGACCCATGTTATGATTGGACACAGCATAAGCTTTTCAGCAGGCTTCAAATTAAATAATTGGGTGATCAGCTGGGTGCAATCACAGCACAGAGTTCTGTTTACAAACACACAGAACTCTATGTAAACAGAAGAGCAATGTGGCCGTTTCTTCTCCCTGAAAAGCAGGAAGAAAAAACAGCCAGATCTGTGAGTAAAAGCAGCACATGTTACATTTGTTAGGCACACAGTTAACCCCTTGATTGCTCCTAGATGTTAACCCTTTCCCAGCAAGTGTGATTAGTACAGTATTATCAGTGTCAGTCAGTTAGTGTGGCCCCCAACCAGTGTCTGTTAGTGCCAGATTGACCGCCACACTATCACAGTCCCATTTTAAGTCACTGATAAATTCCATTATATATATATTATAGTTTGTAGAAGCTAAAACTTTCACACAAACCAATTAACATACACTTATTGTGGGATTTTGTTTTAACCACAGACATGTAGCAGAATACATTTTAGCCTAAATTTATGAAGAAACTTGATTTTATTGGATAACCCTCTAGCAAAACATACCAAATTGAGAATGTGCAGAGTGACTCCACAGATATGTCATATCAGGAGATAAGTGGGGACACTGGAAGAAGGGGAGGATCAGAGAAGACAGGATCGAATAGCGTTTTTACACAATGCAGAAGATTAACCCCTTAGGTTCCACAGTGAGTATAACAAGCATGCTTGTAGGAGGAGTTTTCATTCTGCCTCGATTGTCCTATGAGGCTGCATAACCCCTGACCCTTGGTCTGGACAGTGCTGATTGGCCCAGTGCTGATCCAATAAAAAAAAAAAAAAAAAAAAAAACTTTCTAGCAATACACAAACTGAGCATGTGCAGCTTGCCCCAAGGCTTTGTTGTATCAGGAGATGGATTGGGGACAGTAGAAGAGGGGGAGGATCAGAGAAGACTACATCAAACATCCTTTTTAAACAGTGTGGAGGATTAACCACTTAGGTTCCACAGTGAGTAGAACAAGCATGCTTTACTGCATATAGAGACTGATTTCACTGTTGAGGGTTTAGTAACACTTTAAGATATCAACATAATACAGATATTGTTTTTTTAAGGACAAATAAGGCTGTCTTTTCATGAATATTGTCAAGCAACAATGATATTTTTTCACAAACCTTAGACAAATGTACTTTCTATTTTTGAGCAGTAAAAAAATAATTAGTGGTAATGCACATAGTTTACTCTGTAATTTGTTCTGTTTAAAATGACACCTAAATTATGATTCTGGTACAAAGCATTGAAAAGTTATTTACAAATTAAAAAAATTCATTGTAAAAATTTTAACAAAGGCAACAAAAACAAAAAAAAACTGTTTTAATTATTATTAGTTTATAAAATAGAAATGAACAAAAAAATGGTCAGGAAAATAATAATTAACCACCTCCTGCCCGCCATATAGTAATATGACGGGCGCAAGGTGGCTCTCTCGTTCTGGGAGGACGTCATATGACGTCCTCCCATTCTCACTGCGCATGCGCGGGTCAGGTAGTGCGCAGCGCGGCAATCGGCAGTGCGCTGTGTCCCTCGGGCACAGCGGATCACCGATCACGGAAAGAGCCGAAGATGTCGGCTCGGTCATGTGATCAGCTGTGTTCAATCACAGCTGATCACATGTAAACAGGGAAATGCCGGTTATCGGCATTTCTCTCCTCTCGAGCTGTCACGCTGACAGCTCGAGAGGAGAGCCGGTAATCGGCTTGCCGCGGAGTGGACGTGTACACTGATCATCAGGGCACTGATGATCAGTGTGCCCTGATGATCAATGTAGCCCCAGCAGTGCCTCCTGTCAGTGTCCATCAGTGCCTTATGTCAGTGCTCAGCAGTGCCACATATCAGCGCCTACCAGTGCACATCAATGCCACATATCAGTGCCCATCTGAACTGCCTTTCAGTGTCACTCATCAGTGCCAGACAGTGCCACCTATCAATGCCAATCAGTGCCACCTATCAGTGCTGCCAATCAGTGCCACCTATCAGTGCCAGTCAGTGCCGCCTATCAGTGCCAGTCAGTGCTGCCTATCAGTGCCATGTATCAGTGCTGCCTTTCAGTGCCGATCAGTGATGCCTGTCAATGCCCATCAGTGCCACCTACCAGTGCCTACTCATCAGTGCCCATCAGTGCCACCTATCAGTGTCCATCAGTGCAGCCTCATTAGCGCACATCAGTGAAGGAGAAAAATCACTTATTTACAAAATTTTATAACAAAAACTAAGAAAAAAAATTTTTTTTTTCAAAATTTACAGTGGTTTTTGGTTTAAGAAAAAATAAAAAACCCTGAGGTGATTAAATACCACCAAAATAAAGCTCTATCTGTCACAAAAAAATGATACAAATGTCATATAGGTACAGTGTTGCATGACCGCGCAATTGTCATTCAAAGTGCGACAGCGCTGAAAGCTGGAAATTGGCCTGGGCAGGAAGGGGGTATAAGTGCCCTGTAGGCAAGTGGTTAAATGGAGAAGGAGAATAAAGAGGTAATTAGGGCTGATTAGCGTAAATTAAACAGAGGAACATTTAATTAAAAAAAAAAAACAACAGCAAAAACTTTTTTAACTTGCCAGGTTGCTTTTAATGCAGATCAAGTTCATCCCTCTGATCTGTAGATGAATAATCAGAAAGATACAAAATTAAAAAAATGTTTCTTTTTATCTTTCTGTGGCTGAGCAAGTTTAGTGATAAACATATCAGACTGCTTTTTTTTTTTTTTTATACAGCTCTAATTGCCAGGACCTATTTTTGTTTACACTTCAGCGGTCAGCAGGGGAACCCCACTGACAAGTGAATGAGTCATTGGTTGTCAAGCATGCCGCAGCCTCACTCCTTAAAAACTGATAATTGTCAGCTTTTTTGTTTTTGATGGCTTTTTTTCCTCTTTACATTTCAGCTGTCAGTGTGGGGTGCGCTTCTCCACCTTCCATTTGAAGATGCCCCACAGATGCTCAATAGGGTTTAGGTCTGGAGACATGCTTGGCCAGTCCATCACCTTCACCCTCAGCTTCTTTAGCAAGGCAGTGGTAGTCTTGGAGGTGTGTTTGTGGTCATTATCATGTTGGAATACTGCCCTGTGGCCCAGTCTCCGAAGGGAGGGGATCATGCTCTGCTTCAGTATGTCACAGTACATGTTGGCATTTATGGTTCCCTCAATGAACTGTAGCTTCCCAGTGGTGGCAGCACTCATGCAGCCCCAGACCATGACACTCCCACCACACCATGCTTGACTGTAGGCAAGACACACTTGTCTTTGTACTCCTCACCTGGTTGCCTCCACACACGCATGACACCATCTGAACCAAATCAGTTTATCTTGGTCTCATCAGACCACAGGACATGGTTCCAGTAATCCATGTCCTTAGTCTGCTTGTCTTCAGCAAACTGTTTGTGGACTTTCTTGTGCATCATCTTTAGAAGAAGCTTCCTTCTGGGATGACAGCCATACAGACCAATTGATGTAGTGTGCGGCTTATGGTCTGAGCACTGACAGGCTGACCCCCCACCCCTTCAACTTCCAGTGACCAGTATGAGAGAGTGAGAACAATAACACCAAAGTTAATGCACCTGCTCCCCATTCACACCTGAGACCTTGAAACACTAATGAGTCACATGACACCGGAGTGGGAAAATGGCTAATTAGGCCCAATTTTTCACTTAGGGGTGTACTCACTTTTGTTGCCAGCAGGTTAGACATTAATGGCTGTGTGCTGAATTATTTTGAGGGGACAGCAAATTTACACTGTTATACAAGCTGTACACTTACTACTTTACATTGTAGCAAAGTGTCATTTCTTTAGTGTTGTCACATGAAAAGATAGAATAAAATATTTACAAAAATGTGAGGGTTGTATTCACTTCTGTGAGATACTGTAAACCTGACTGACTAGATATTGAGCAGCCTTTATTCACAGTATCCCTTTCAATAGCAAAAAACTTCACTCTCTTACCTGGGTCTACAATTGATTCCCAGTATCTCCTCCTTGTCTAAGGCAAACTACCGGCCCTGTTTAGAAAATTATTGGAGGGTGTGGTCAGATGCAAGCTTGTCATGGATGGGGAGGCTCGCCTCAGTCAAGATGCATTTTACCCAGACTGTTCTATTATTCTAGAACACTACCCATTCTGATCCCAGTGACAATAATTCAGCAGTTCCAAGCAACATTTTTCTGCTACATCTGGGGCACTAAAGGCAATAGACTGGCCCAGGCCACAATGTATTGTCCAAAAGATGCAGGTGGTTTGGGGGTCCTGGATTTTAGAAAATATTACGTGGCTGCCAAACTTTCGCAGTTAACGTCATCATCTGGGATATAGGCCTGACTGGGTGTCCATTGAGGCCCAAGCTTGCACTCCACTTCCCATGGATCTGGTGTTATGGCTCCCATCACACCATCGCAAAGCAATTCTATGCCCTACTCTCTCCCACTCCCTCAGTTTGTGGGACTTTAATTACAAATGATGGCCTTTGCATTCCCCACACATGCCAGTGGCCCCCCTCCTAATAACACTTTCTTCCCACCAGGACTGCACTCCACTCATTTTAGCTGGTGGATCAATAAGGGGCTCTATAGAATAGGGGACTTCCTTGACCATAAAGGGATTCACCCTTCCTCATACTTTTTGCACAGCCTGGAGATGCCTCACACGGAGAACTTTCATCTCCAGCAAATTATAATTTTTTTCATACTCTACAGAAAAACAGTCCTGATTTGACTATACGCACTATGTTTAAAAATAGAAGTATACAAGGAACTCAATTGCGGGGATGTATCTTATTTCTATACAAACTCTTTACCAGCCCGTCAACCAAACTTTCTTATCTCATGGGAGAGGGATCTAGATATGTTTTTAGAGGAGGACGAATGGCGGTTCTGGAACTCTCTGGTTCCCAAAGGTATATTAAATGTTGCTCTCACAGAACCAGGGTACAATGTATATGCGAGGTGGTACCTGGTTCCAAACCGCTTCTCCCGAATGTTTCTGGGAACATCAGTCTCATGCTTCAGAGGCTGTGGCCAGACAGGCACGGTTTTACATACTGTATATGTGGACCTGCCCCAAAGTCTGCTGACATTGGATGAGAATACACTCCATTATATTTTCAGTCACCATAACCAAAGATGCTAGCATTGCTTTATTAAATAAGCCGGTTGAAAATGTCCCCAGGCATACACAAAACTTAATGTATTTTATGTTTTTGCCAGCAAAAAAATTGCCATTGCTACAGCTTGGAAAAGTCCTATCTTTGACATAGCATTGATGAAGCAGATGTTCACTTAGATTATGCTTAATGGAATAATTTGGAGTGTGCTGCAGGACAAACAAACCTTATTCGACAAAATATGGACCCCAATACAGGTCCTGGATGGATGGGACTGACGTATGGATTGGGGCATGCTGGACTCTTGGATGGACTGGTTTTCTTCTTCTCTCCTTTATTCTGATTTAATTCTATTCTCTTCCCTTCCTTTTTTTTTCCCCTTTTCTGTTGGTCCCACGCTCTTACCCTTCTTCCTTCCGCCCTTTTCTTCTTACATCCCCCCCCCCCTTTTTATTTTTAAGGTTTCCCTTTTTTTTTTTAATCCTTTTAAGGCTTTTGTCCATGGTTGTCTTGATCAATCCAGGGAGCTCAATGCTCAGAGAATTGCTGTTCCCTGGCCCCGTATCTAGATACTTATTGTTAATTGCTTATCATATCACTGCATCGCAGTGTCATTTTATTTCCCTATTCTAATGCTTAGCACTGATGGTGCTGTGGCCTCCATGGTCTCCATGGTTTTTATGATTTTGTCTGCCCCACTGGGACTTAGGTGAACCTGCGGCTGCTTTGGGGTTAGAGGGATTGGCCTGACCACTCGCTCTGTTTTGCTTATTGTCACCTCACTGTGACCATATTTCAGTTGCTGATTTGACATGTCATTTGGAATAACCTTTATTGTATACCTCCAGAGTTTTGATCCATGATACATTTCTTTAGCTATCTCCAGGTTTATCCTCTAGTCGAGGGGAGGGCGTGTACCCAGCCATATCTTTGTTTAACGGTATCACTTAGCCCTGGATCACACTGTGTGGGCTGGTTGCGGGTATCGCACACGTTCCCACAGCCACCTGCAGCTGGATCGCAATACTCTTACGAGATGCATGGGGCTGCCATTCATTCCAAACAGCATCCCACGCATCTCAGCCCACAGCGCATTTGTGGGTGTGGGAACGTCAACGCGTTTCACTTAAGTACAAGCGTAGCTTCGTCAGGACCACATACTGTAACTGCTTTTAATATAAGGACACTTACCTGGCCAGCGGTCCAGCGCTGTCTTCACCTGGACCAGTTCTTTACTAGCCTCCGTGTTCCTGGAGCTGGTATAGCAAGTGAGGGAAACCAGAAGTGAAACCACCAGCCGATTTCCTTCTGTGGAAGCCGTGCTGTGCCTTGTGAATGGTCCTGTAGTCTTCTGGAATCGGTGAAGTGTTGCAGAAGACTGGAGGGGGGCTGAATTTCTGGCTCAGTTCACCGATGAACTGAGACGAAAGTGGGTGCGGGTGCCTCTCAAAACCAGGTACCCACTCCCCACAAAAAAAAAGGTGCCAGATGTGGAAGTGGAGGGTGCAAACAAGCGGAGATTCCCTTTTTGGTGGAGCTCCGCTTTAATGAGAGACATAGCATGAATGGGCAGCATTACAAACCCTGTCTCTTAACAAACTTTTCTCAAATTTTCACTTTGAAGAAGCGATCACTGGGAGGAATTCTCAGATGTGCAGCATTAATGGAGGCCATCTGGCCATGTACATGGAATTGCATGGCTGGAAACCAGCACAGAAGCTTCTGTAGAGGATCGCCAGAGGGCAGCCGAGAGACGACGCAGTGCACGATGACATCATAGACCAAACACTCCAGCACACACCCCGCTCCCTTTCATTCTCTCCCGTGTTGTTTATGCTCCTCCCATTCTCTCTGTCTCCGCCAGCCCCGGAAGTAGTGTACGCTGGGAGCTCCCGGAAGGAAGCGGCTCGGCTGCAGGCTGAGGCCGGGGAGCAGCCTGGACGGAAGGAATGTGTGATGAGGGCGCCCGGTGTCCCGGCTGGTATGGCTCTGCTTGGTGTGTGGGGTTGTGCTCTCTCCTCTACGCCCTCACACAGAGGGGGAGCGGAGACACCGAGGTGCGGCAGCCGCTCATCTCACCTCCCCGCTGGCGGCCGGAGCACTCCCAGAGAGCCAGGTACATAGACCCATGTATCCCAGTCGTCTGCCTGTGGTGTGCGCTCAGTCCTCAGGGGACAGCTCTGGTGGCCTTCTGTTCTATGGAGGCGAGGTGCAGATTGGAGTCATTGAGTGCTGTGTGTGAGTGGAGGGAGAGGACTGGGTGTATGGGAAGGGGGATGGAGGGCCCAGGGTACTGGGAGCAGAGATCATTGGAGGAACTTCATTAAGCAGACTCAGGTACTTCAGCAGCTGACTTAAATACATTGTAAAGGTTTATTGTAAAATAACAAACGTCATACTTACCTGCTGTGTGTAGCGGTTTTGCTCAGAGCAGCCTCCTCTTCTCCGCAGGCTCTCCTGGTCCCTCCCTCCCTGTTGGGATCCCCCACAGCAAGCAGTTTGCTATGGGGGGCACCTGTGTCCATTCACACCTGGAGCCGCGGATTGGCCTTGCCCCCTCTCTCCTTATTGGCTGACTAGCTGTGATTGACAGCAGGGGGATTCAATGGCTCCCACTTGCTATCTCGGGCCAAAGAGGCAGAGGCCTGGAACAGATGGATCTTAATGGGGATCAGGTAAGTATTGAGGGGGTGGAGGGTACTGCTGCACACCAAAAGTTTTTTTTTTTTTTTTTTTTTTTTTTTAGAATGCATGCAGGTGAAAAAACTTGAGCCTTTACAGCCGCTTTAAAGCACATACTAGTCTATGGAGTCCAGTGCTGGCCTCTCAGAACCCAAAGGCTGTGCTGCATCTGTTCCTACATCAACATTGGGTGTTCGCTATCACTTCCTGGTCACTCGATTACCCCCCCCAGCTGCGCATGCACTCCCCATCTGACGTCCTGAAGTCTCCTGGGATGTTTCAATTGCACATGTATTACAGGGAAGGGGAGAGAGGATCAGGATTATACCAAGTAGTGTTCCTGAGTGAAGGTCTGCATTAAAGCAGAACTAAAGGGGTTAATACTTTTCCAATGGTCCTGCACTGGCATCTTTTCCTGTGTGCTGATCTTCAGACAGCTTTATTACCTTGTGCAGGAGGCAGGCATTCTGTCATACACAGACTGGTCCAGTGCATGCACAGCTCAGTTTATAGTGCTGGAGAAGACAGCAGGGACGTAGGGCATGTCATCTACAGAAGACATTACATGTTTTTTTCTGTTCCGGCCACTTGATCACTGTAATAGCCTCTGATTGACTAGTACAGTAATCAGTCACTGTGCAAACCATCCCTCCTTTTTACTTTCTCTTCTGAATGGAGAGAAGGATACATTGGGGTCAATTCGCTAAAGGATTCCGCATGTGATATGAAGGTCACGTGACATTTTTTTAAGGAATATATCCTTAATCTGGGGAAGCCCATTCGTACCCCTGAGGATGTGCTGTAGCACAAAACGCGTTGGGTGGAGCCTTCATTGCTGACGTCACGCCACCGCCTCCTAGGCAGGAGTGGGTGGCCATTTTGGTACCTGTTTTATACCTTACTCCACGTGGATCGTTTTCTATATACAGTGGGGATCAAAAGTTTGGGCACCCCAGCTAAAAATTTGTATTAATGTGCATAAAGAAGCCAAGAAAGATGGAAAAATCTCCAAAAGGCATCAAATTACAGATTAGACATTCTTATAATATGTCAACAAAAGTTAGATTTTATTTCCATCATTTACACTTTCAAAATAACAGAAAACAAAAAAATGGCATCTACAAAAGTTTGGGCACCCTGCAGAGTTAATATCTTGTACTGCCCCCTTTGGCAAGTATCACAGCTTGTAAACGCATTTTGTAGCCAGCCAAGAGTCTTTCAATTCTTGTTTGAGGTATCTTTGCCCATTCTTCCTTACAAAAGTCTTCCAGTTCTTTGAGATTTCTGGGCTGTCTGTCACGCACTGCTCTTTTAAGGTCTATCCATAGATTTTCAATTATGTTGAGGTCAGGAGATTGTGATGGCCATGGCAAAACCTTCAGTTTACGCCTCTTGATGTAATCCCCCGTGGATTTCGAGGTGTGTTTAGGATCATTATCCATTTGTAGAAGCCATCCTCTCTTTAACTTCAGCTTTTTCACAGATGGCATCAAGTTACCATCCAAAATTTGCTGAAATTTTATTGAATCCATTTTTCCTTCTACTCGTGAGATGTTCCCTGTGCCACTGGCTGCAACACAACCCCAAAGCATGATTGATCCAACCCCATGCTTAACAGTTGGACAGAGGTCCTTTTCATTAAATTCTGTGCCCCTTCTTCTCCAAACGTACCTTTGCTCATTCCGGCCAAAAAGTTCAATTTTAACCTCATCGGTCCACAGAACTTGTTTCCAAAATGCATCAGGCTTGTCTATATGTTCATTTGCAAAGTTCAAACGATGATTTTTGTGGTGAGACGTAGAAGAGGTTTTCTTCTGATGACTCTTCCATGAAGACCATATTTGTACAAGTATCTCTTTATAGTGGAATAGTGTACCACAACTCCAGTGTCTGCCAGATCTTTCTGGAGGGATTGTGCAGTCAAACGTGGGTTTTGAATTGTTTTTCTCACAATCCTGCAAGCTGTTCTGTCTGATTTTTCTTGGTCTTCCAGATCTTGCTTTAACTTCCACTGTTCCTGATGACTGCCATTTCTTAATTACATTCCGAACAGAGGATATTGACACCTGAAAACGCTTTGCTATCTTCTTATAGCCTTCTCCAGATTTGTGAGCGTCAACTATTTTCAGTTTCAGTTTTCTAGACAACTGCTTAGAAGAACCCATGGTGCTGATTGTTGGGGCAAGGTCAGATGAGTCTGGGCATTTAAAACCTTTGAGATTGACATCACCTGGTCTTCCCAGACGATGATTGAGAACAATCCATGACACTGGCAGGTCTCAGCTTTGCAAAGGGGGCAGTGCATGCTATAAATTCTGCAGGGTGCCCAAACTTTTGTAGATGCCATTTTTTTGTTTTCTGTTATTTTGAAAGTGTAAATGATGGAAATAAAATCTAACTTTTGTTGACATATTATAGGAATGTCTAATCTGTAATTTGATGCCTTTTGGAGATTTTTCCATCATTCTTGGCTTCTTTATGCACATTAATACAAATTTTTAGCTGGGGTGCCCAAACTTTCGATCCCCACTGTATGTATATCGACATCTAAGCAATAAATACTACACTTTATTAGTTTCTCTGACTCCTGTGGTTGAGCTATCTTCCCCAGATTAAGGATATTCGCACCACCGGTACTTAGAGGATGCTGGATGATTAACTCCTATGCTGCTTCTCTGCTCCTGTACCCAGATGTGACCGATTGTAACCAATGCTTGTATACATCAAAGTTCTAGTGAGTGCACATCCATTAGAAGTGGTGGATTACTTTCAAAGATATATGCACATCTGCACTTTGGTCACATGGATATATCATGTCTTAATCTGAGGACTATTTCTGCTCACGTATTTTCCCGTTGAAATCAAATGATTTATATAGACATCTATTTACTTAATTTACGCACATATTGCACTGAATAGCACTTTGAATATTTCACACAGATTTATTATGAATTACTAATAAAATATATATATATATATATATATATAGCACTGCACTTTATATATTTTTATGCTTTTATTGGGATCGTTGCCTATGCCCTGTAGTGCTAGCAGCTACCTTAACCATACGATTCTTTGTACATGCGCTCGCTTATTTACTTTCTGATAAAATATTTAATGTGTTCAGCTGGGCATGGTTAGTGGGCATGGAAGAGGAGGAAGGGAAGTGGGCTATCATTACCATGGTGTACTCTAGTCACATGGGCTGCTCAGATGTGATGGGGGGGGGGGGGGGGGAAATGCTCAGCATCGAAACTCACTGAAAACTGAACATGTGCAGAGCTGCTGACAGTGCTCTTCAAAATCCCAAACTGCATTGGGGACATGGACAGAAAGGGGTGATAGAGAGCAGCAGGATCAACCAGGTTTTTAACAGAATACAGAACACTAATCCCATAATGACTGAGGCTGGTTGTACAATAGACAATTTTCTTGTACAATTTTCCTTTGAATTTACCAAAAAAAAAAAAGGACAAACCTAAGCGCTTTCAATTTGTATGCAATTAGGCAAGCTCTTGCACAACATGGTTGAAGGTAAATCTAAAGGAAATTGAACAAGAACATTGTATAATGTATGGCCTGCTTGAGTATGAACAGCATGTAATACAGCATTTATTGATAGATTTCAGTTATGTGGGTTTAGTGACACTTTAAATCAATTCTCTAAAGCAGAGTTTTTCAACCTTTTTTCAGTCAAGGCACAGTTTAAAATTCTGCACAGTCTCGAGGCACTTCACTCCATTCTAAAACATAAAGCACTAAATGAATAGTTTTACATATTGCAGCAGCATCCATACACATAGGATACCTAACATTAGAGGTGATTTATTCTTACAAAGCAATATACCTTTGCACACTGGTACTGACTAGTGTTCCAGGGCTTCCATCACTCAGCTAACATGGAGATGGAAAGGGGAGAGGCAAATGAGTGCTGTGTGGGCACTCAATGTCCTCCATATCAACCAATGACATCATTGATTAAGATGCCAACAGCTGGCCACCACAGTGCCTGAGGCTGTAATGGTGCACAATGAAAACCTGGGGCTTTGTGTAACAAAAAAGCAGGCTTGATCCACCCGCTGGCTTGTAATTTTTGGGCAATTAGGGGCAATATTTTAGGCACTTTGCCAAGGCACCCCTGAGGAACCCAGAATGCACCCAGGGTGCCTAGGCACCCTGGTTGAAAAAAGCTGCACTAAAGAACACACACATTTGCTATTTGTCACCTGCCAGTAGACATTTGGTATTTTAGCAATGTACAAAATAACAATGAGGGGAACTCTGCACTGACTGGTAAGTTAAAAGTATACAATGTATCAGTGTGGAATGTTCTGCCGCCCAGCTCAGGAATGAAAATAAATTGTAACAATTCATAAGAGGGAAGTGGTTCATGAATGAAACAACACTAGAATGTTTTCAGTTTTATATTTCTGT